TTCAGTACTTGCCCGTGCCTGCGTGGAGTCTTTTCTCGTTGAGAAAGGACTCAAATGGTTTGGCAGAGGTGCGAGTGACAAGGATCAAGCAGATCGTTTTGGTGATGGAACTGCCTTGGGACGAAGCTCTCTGGTATGCTAAAATGACGGTTAATTCCGCTGTTCGTGCTTCCGGTGCGAGTGCCGCGGAGTTGGTCATGGGGGGTCGGATACTAGCACCCTCCGCAGCATTATTGGGTTCCATGACCCAGGCCAAGGAGTTCGGGATGGAGATGGACGACACCACGGTCGAGGTAGACCCATCGACGACGGGCCCCGTCCACATCAAGTGGTGAATCGTCTTTTGGATCGTGAACGAGTCACGGACCGTGACTCACGGAGCTGGAGGCTCGCTTGCAGGAATCAGCACGAAGAATGGCGTCCGAGAGAGAACATAAGAAGGATATCACGGATCTGGAGGACGGAACACTGATGCTGTGGCCTCGACCGGGTGCACTGGACGTCAAGGGTCATGTGGTGAAGGTTCAGACGATGAACGTCAACAGCGGTCCTTTTGTCTACTTGGGCTGCATGGCGGGGTTTTCAACTCGACTCCGACCTCTGGGGGCGACTTTCTGCGAAACTATCGCCGTCTCTGCTTGGCACCTGGATGTTAGGCGTGAGGAAGTAGACCGTACCCGAGCTACTCCGTCGGTTGAGGCCCTCAACTTGAGGGCACTGTGGGCCCTGCAAAGCTAAAGGATGGAGATTGTGTACTGGTTCCGAACCAGTGGTTCGTTTGGTAACGGGAGCTGATGTTCTGGGCTTGTATGCGGGGCCTTCAATCGAGGACCAGAAGACTGCAGGTTGGGTTCACATATTGGACAGCGAGGATGGTCGACGTTTTTCCCGGTGTACTTGAATGCCGATGGTACCACTCTCATGGCGGACGCAGCGCCGGAAGGTGCTACGGCCCTGTTGAGAATTTTTCCAAGGTGATGGCTTCGCTAAAGCTCACAACGACGAGGTTATTGTCGAAGTGTAGCCGCGAGACTCTAGTGACCCGTGGTTATTTGAATGAGTGACCTTTTGTCGCCGACTGGGGGGGGGGGAGAGACTGCCGCGCGTGGAGGTACCACTACGACGATCTGAGCAGCCGCCTCCAACGGTGATTCTATGACAGGATTCATGTCTGTCTTTCTCTCTTCATTTCTTTATAGTTGATCTATCCGTGTACGGTTCGTGACAAGTTC